CCTCCTGAGAAGCTGAGAGGCCTCAGGAACAAAATGGAAACCATGGTTATCTGCTGCTGTGGAATGCAACAGGTGCATCTGGGATTGGCTCATGTTGGATGTTTGTAATTAATGGCCAATCACAGTCAGCTGGCTCAGACTCTCTGAGACAGAAGCTTTTGTTATGATTCCTTCTTATTCTATTCTCAGCCAGCCTTCTGATGAAATCCTTTCTTCTGTTCTTTTAGTATAGTTTTAATATAATATATATCATCAAATAATAAATCAGCCTTCTGAAACATGGAGTCAGATCCTCATCTCTTCCCTCATCCTCAGACCCCTGTGAGCACCATCACACCCTGGGTCCTGTTTGTGTGGAGCTCATGTTTCAGGGATCCAACATGATTCTGCTGATTTTCTGTTCAGCCTCACAGCCCTTAAATAACACCCAGTATTATAACACCTGTATTTAAATAACACCTGCTCTTCCCAGGTTCCAGCCACACAACCTTCCACCCTCAGACTGCACCAGAGGGTCCTGTCCTGCATCTCCTGGCACCTCTCCAATGCCCTGGCAGAGCTGAGAGCTTCATCTGGTTATTTAAAAGCCCAGGTAAGCCCAGGGACAGAGCCATGAGGGTGTTTATCAAGGGTTAATTAGCAGCTCCTCTTCCCTCCCTCACCCAGTGTCCATCTCTGAAGGCTCCAGCATCAAGATTGGTGTGTCAGAGCTTGGCTGTCCTGGAAGACCTGATCCTTGCTGGGTCCCAGCCCAGCTCCCACAGGCACTGGGGGTCAGGGAGGGGGTGGCTCCATCCCTGAGAACTGCAGAGTTGGACACCCCCAGGGGCTGAGCCTGCACACCCCACTCCTGCTTATTAATCAGTAATAAACCTAATGATTAATTAGGTCATTAATCCTAAATGACTCCTGATCATCCTCAACCAGAACAACCCCTCATGCTGGCAGTGTCCCAGGCCAGCCTGGGATGGTGGGAGGTGTCCCTGCCATGGCAGGGGTGGCACTGGATGGGATTTCAGGTCCTTTCCAACCCAAGGCTTTCTGGGATTCTGTGCTTTGCTTTCACTTCACACTGTGTGCCAAGAGCACCCCAAGCTGCTCTGCTGCCCTGCAGAGTGGCCAGGGACTGGGGTCTCTGTGTGAGGAGAGCTCTGCTCCCAGCCTGCCTTTGCCAGGTGGCTCCAGCCCAGCCCATGGGACAGGAGTGAGCCTGGTCCAGCCAAAACCTCCCCCAGCCCCTGGGGAACTGGGCCACTGTCACTGTAGGACATGAAACAACACAAGCTCACACTGCTGCTCCCAAGGGGAAGGAAAAGGGAAGTTTATTTTCTGACTCAACATTTATAGATTTCTAAAAGTGACAGTGGATTGGAGGGTGATGGTGTGACCTCTCCAATGACAGTGGACAAACCACCAGTCCATCAAATTTTTCCTCCTCCATAAAAGAATGCAAAACAATGAGTTATTTATAGAAGGTGTGTGAGAAAGTTCACTACAAGAATGTGAAGATCAGAAGGCTTAGAAAATCTTAAAAACTCAGGGTGACAGGCCACCTTCCACCACCCCAGAAATACCCCATGCTCCTGCCAGCCACTCCCAAGAACTGCAGGTGCCATGAGACATTCCCAGCACAGACAAGGGCAATCCTTCCCAGGAGCCTGCTCAGAACATGAGTTTTAACTTCAAAATTTTCTTTGTGTCTTTGAATTTTTTTTACAGCAGATAAAAATTGGGAGAGTGCATTTTGGGGGAATTTCTGCTGGTGCCCTCCTCAGCCTGGTTTCTGATGGCTCCCAACTCCTGTGGAGCCTCTGGAGTGAGTTCCCAGCTGAGTGATCCAACCCCCCATTCCCTGACAGAGGCACCTCAGGCACAGAGGGGAGTTCAGTGCTGGAGTTTGGCTTTTTTAGGCTCAGCCACGAGCCCTGTGAGGGTCCCATCCCACAGGCTCCTCTGCCCTGGGCACTGCAGCCCATCCCAGCTTCCAGGATCTGCTACCTCCTCCTGACCTGGTGTTCTCTAAATTAAGCAGCTGTTAGATCCCTTCCTTCCTTGGCCCACGGGGTGCTAAGAAGGTCACCACAGATGGGAGCTTAAAGGGCTGCCAGTGCCCCCCTAATCCTGGCCAGGCAGCACTGCCCTGACAAGGACCTGAGCAGGTGATTAGGGCCTGGAATATCTGTGCTCAGAGCCCTGCTGGCCCCTCCACCCACACAGAACATTTCAGCCATCCCTTTTTTGCTGAGGCACCCAAGGATGCTCCTCTGTGTGCTCTCATTGAGGGCACTCCCAGCCCTGTAAGGATGGACTCAGTACCAGACATTTCCAACACTTTCCCTGCAATATTCCTGCAATAATGGGCATTTTCATCAGCCTTCCTTGTTCTCCAGTCTCTCTCTGTGTTCTTCTCTAACTGCCTCAGTGACAGATATTTCCCCACTGAAATATCTCCCAAGGAACAGGGAGCTCTGCAGCTCCTTCTGGAATCTACCTTTATTCTGGGTGCCACCAGTTAAAGTGCAGGGAGAAGTGAAAAATGAAAGAGCAAATCATCAGGCAGCAGTGCTCAGGGGCTCAGGAGTCCTGAGGGAGGGAGGAACTTGCTGCATAAAAGACAATTCCCTCCACTTCCAGGAAATGCCTTGTACAAAGAGAAGGGTCCACGCTTCAAAACTCTACTGAATATGCCAACAGCCAAAACAAAACTTCGAAAAATTTCTGGCAGTGTTCTTTGTAAAAATGTCTTCAACAGTAAAAATCTATGGATTTCTTCAGTGCTGCTGAATCCCACAATTTCATTTGCTGAGTTAAATCCTGGTCTGTGGAATTAGGGTACAGTAGCAGAACAGGGTTTTTAGTCAGGTCGTTTATTCAACCTATCCAGAGGTTGAACAGATAGGTTGAACCTCCTGGTTTCAAAATATTTTGTGTCAAAATATCCTCACTACCACCACAGGCAGGTACACTAAGCTGGAACAGAAAATGGTTATAGACAAATCTGATCACACCCAAGTTCCCTTTCTCCTTCATTTTGATTTGAAGAAGTTCAGGTGAGTCTTTTCCCTGCTGTTATTTGGAGTTTCCTGGATTAGATTTCCAAATAAGATCCTTATTTAGTGGTGTGGTATCTCCAGGGGTCCATCCCACAGCAGCACAGCTCCTGCCTCTGTGATAAGAAGTTTTATCTGATCACATTTGTTTTTTCTCTCTTCTATGCAATATCCAAAGGACCATTCCAGCTGTGATACCAATGAAAAGCCAAGTTCTGCAAACCTTGATGAACTGCAAACTGAGGACCTCATCCCTGGCAGTGCCACAGCCAGGATGGAGCAGCCTGGGAATGTGGAAGGGTCCCTGCCCATGGCAGGGGGGGACACTGGATGGTTTTTAAGGTCCCTTTCCAACTCATTCTGTTAATCTGTAATTTCTGCATTTATTCACCTGCCCAGGAGCTGGAAGAGAAATCCACTGCTAAAAACCACACTGCTGCATCTTCCTGCCATGGGCTGAGCACAGAACGAGGACACCCTGAAATTTTCACCCTCTGCTGAAGCCAACTCCAGCTTTCACTGCCCTGAAGTCCAAGGAAACTCCCAGCAGAGCAGGCAGAGCCCTCCCTGACCTCATGGCTCAGCAAGCACAGCAAGTTTCCAACAGGCACAGCCATGCCCAGGCAGCATTTCCCAACCCTCAGGTCATGCTACCACTGCACCTGATCCCTAAATCCCCTCCCATCCCTCCATAAAGCCTCTGCTTCACAGAGATGATTTCAGCTCAGCATCTGGGGGATGTTAAACTTCCTAAATTGTGCCCTGTGGGGATGGGAACTCCTCTGTCCTGCCCTAAGCACTGACAAGCACAGCCCCAAGAAGGAAACACCAGGGGAATGTTCCCTCCCAGCCCAAGGGGCAGAGGCAGCAGCAGAGCTCTGAGCCTGCCCTGGCCCCCAGCCCCACACAGCAGCAGCTCCTGCCAGCCCCAAGCACAGCACTTCCAATGATGGTTTTAACTTTGATATTTTCCAAATTCTCTGCTCTGTTCAGGTATGTAACTCTGCCACTTCCTCTTAGGTGTTAGCAGGTTCTCCTCACAGGGTGGTTGGACAAAGCAATACCTTCCCAGCTGGAAAATGAAGGACAACCTTTACCCAAAGAGCACAAACAATGCAAAGAGAAGGGGGCAAGCCAGGGGGCTGAGATTTCATCACCTGGAGCTGCAATTGGACAACTGAACCCAATATGGAGATGAGCCAAAACTGATAAAAGTGTAAAAACTCCTGACCAGGATCCATCTTAAATTCAGCCTGGCTGCAGCCCTGGCCAGGCCCTTGTGCTGTCCTTTTAAGGCCTTGCAATAAATCCCTATTTTGTCCATTTAGCTCTGTGTAGTCTCTGCTCCAGATCAGCCTTTCAAGGCACCTCCACCTGCCTCTCCCTGCATGCCCTTGCTCTGGGAGGAGCCCAGCAGAGGCAGCAGCAGGGTTCACCTCCAGGTTATCCCAAGCCACCCTTGTTTTCAGCTCCCCATGACAAACTGCAAACAGAACTTCCAGCAACAGCACAGGCAATGAATGTGACAGGCAGACATGCCCAAACCTGTGTCCAAAACAACCCACAGGGTGTAATCACAGACTCAAAGAACCACAGAATTAGGCTGGGAAAGACCTTGGAGATCACTGAGTCCAACCTCTGACCCAACACATGGCACTGAACACCTCCAGGGATGGTGACTCCACCACTTCCTGGGCTTCAAGTGACCCAAGCCCACCCCCAGCAGCACTGGGGACAGGGACAGGCCCTAAGCACAGCCACAAACTGCCTGAACACTCACCCCAGGCCAGGGAGAGGGAAATCGGCCTCTCCCAGCAGGAACCCTCAGAGTGCTGCAGAACCAGGGTTCTGTAGAGCTCCTCTCCTGCCAGGGGGGTGCTGCCCCAAAGCCAGTGCTGTGCCCTTTGCAGGGCTCTGTCCCTCCCCAGGAGCACACCCAGAGTCACTCACCAGGGCTGGCTGGGCACCTGGGCCGTGTCACTGTCCCCGTGGCCGCAGCGGGAGCGGGCGCAGCTCCTCTCTGTGCCTCTTCACCCTGCAGGAAGCAGCGGAGGAGGAGGAGGGTGAGCAGATAATCCACGACTTGCTGGGAGCTCTGCAGGGCTGGGAGCAAAGCTGCTGCTGTCTGCAAGGATCAGAGCTGGGACTTTCTGAGCTAAGACTCTGAGCTGCTTAGCAAGGAGCTGGAAGCAGAGCAGACAGAGGTGGTTGTGTTCTCCCAGGGCTCAGCACTGGGGGGTTGTTTCAGGCTGGCTCAGGCACCAAAAATCCCACAAAAACTGCTCCATCAGGTTAATGCTAGCACAGGACAGGGATGGAGGCAGGCAGGAATTTCTGGTCACCGTGGCTGAGGGAAAAAACAGAGTTTTTTCCAAGTGAAATGTTACTGTAGGACATAAAATAACACGAGGTGGACATGTAGCTCTTCCAAGGTAAAAAAAAAAAATTCAAAATTTTGACTCCAATATTTATAGATTTCTAAAAGTGACAGTGGATTGGAGGGTGACAGTGCCACCACTCCAATGACACTGGACAAACCAGCAGTCCATCAAATTTCTCCTCCTCCATAAAAGAATGCAAAACAATGAGTTATTTACAAAAAGTGTGTGAGAAAGTTCATTACAAGAATGTAAACATTAGAAGGCTTAGAAAAACTTAAAAAATCAAGATAACAGTGAAATATCCCACAGTAAAAGTTTTTCATAGTTTTGTTCATTTATTTATTTAATACTTGGAAAATATTAAATTTGAAACTGAAGATTTTACTTTGGGTTAGGCCAAATTGAAACTATTCCTTGATGGAATTAAAACATTCTGCTTTAAGTCAGTTCCTCTGTGTTCCCTGAGATCTTCCTGGAACTTTAAATTAAGGTGCCATGATTGAGATACCTAGCTGACCTGCCCAGCATGAGAGATCTGCCAGCTGGGGACATAACCAGGATTCAGAAGTGGAAACTGCAGGACTTTTACAGGCATTTTTTGGCTGGGTCACCCCCAGCACCCACTGGCAGAAGCTCCTGGTGCAGTGGGGTTGGTCCAGACTGGGGACTCCAGGAAAAGGGAAGAGCCACAGTGGAGCCCAGTGCTGGAGTGGGATCCCAACAGCTCAGAGCAGCAGCTGTCCCACCTGGAATGCTCCCACATCTCACCTGGGATCCTGACAGCAGCACTTCCACTCACCTGGAACCCTCCCAGGTATCACACACAACCCCAGTGCTCTGGAAACACCAGCACTGATTTTCTCCTAGCAAAAAAAATCTCCTTTAATTTCACAGGCACCTCCTGCTTGGTTATAGAGCTTGCTCTCTAGGATTTGCTCCTCAGCTGGGGCAGAAATGAAAGGACAAAAAATGCCACTTAACTGAGGATAAAGATCCATCTTTGCAGTGCTATCATAATGCTGTGTCCTTTAAAAACAAGTGTGGAGTAGGTGTGAGATGGCACCAGCTCTGGGTGTGCAGAAAAAGAGCTGACAGAGCAGAATGTCTCAGAGAGAATCAGCTGGTGCAACTTCAAAACTCCTGCTCTGTTGTAGTGTGGTTTTATATTTTGTAATACTTTGAAGGAGTTTTGTTTTGTATCCCCATATTATCCCCATATTTTTCCCAAATGGTTTATCCCAAACTGTACCCCCCTCCCTTTACCTGTGTTATCCCTCTCCTGGCATGAGATCATCCCCAAACCCCCACCTGTTGCAGACATCTTTCATGAAAAATCCTTTCTTAAGATTTTTCTTTGTGAGAAGCTGCAGTTTCAGCAACTAAAAGTAAACAATGGTTATCTGCTGCTGTGGAATGTAACAGGTAGACCCGTGATTGATCTCCTGTGGATGTTTAGATTTACTGACCACTCATAGCAGAGCTGGCTCTTGCTCTGTCTGAGACACAGATCTTTGTTATTCATTCTTTTCTATTCTTAGCTTAGCTAGCTTCTGAGGAAACCTTTTCCTTTCTATTTCTTTTTAGTATAGTCTTAATGTAACATATAGCATAAAATAGTAAATCAAGCCTTCTGATCATGGAGTCAACATTCTCATCTCTTCTTCATCCTGAAAACCCTTGTGACCACAGTCACACCCACCCTGGCTCTCTGTCAATCACTCAGCATCCCATCCCCTCCATCCAGAAGCTTTGGTCCAGGTCTTTGAGTGATGAGCCAGAGGCCAGGGGTCAGCCCCCCAAGCCTTGCCCCATACGCTGTCCTAAATGTCCATCCCCCAGTACCCATCCCTTAGGGTCACTTCTTGGTTGGTAAAATGTTCTCTACTTTGGGTTTCCACCTCCCTTTAAATGTAACCTTGGCACATCTCCCGGGGCTCTCGGCAGGAGGCCCCTGAGGTGCAGGAGCTCCTTTGGGACTCCTAATAAAACCTTGGATTAACCCCTGCTAGGAGTCAGCCCTTTAACTTCTCCCGATGTCTCTGGTGTCTCTTGTGCTGCACAGGCGCCCAGCCCAGGTGCCCTCAGTACCCTCGGGGCACAGAGAGTGTCTCCCCCCAGCCCAGGTGCCCTCAGTACCCTCGGGGCACAGAGAGTGTCTCCCCCCAGCCCAGGTGCCCTCAGCACCCCCGGGGCACACACAGGGAGTGTCTCCTCCCAGCCCAGGTGCCCTTAGCACCCTCGGGGCACAGAGAGTGTCTGCCCCCAGCCCAGGTGCCCTCAGTACCCTCGGGGCACACACAGAGAGTGTCTCCCCCCAGCCCAGGTGCCCTCAGCACCCTCGGGGCACACAGGGAGTGTCTCCCCCCGCCCAGGTGCCCTCAGTACCCTCGGGGCACACACAGAGAGTGTCTCCCCCAGCCCAGGTGCCCTCAGTACCCTCGGGGCACACACAGAGAGTGTCTCCCTGCCAGCCCAGGTGCCCTCAGCACCCTCGGGGCACACACAGAGGGTGTCTCCCCGCTGTCAGCCCAGGTGCCCTCAGCACCCTCGGGGCACGGGGAGTGTCTCCCTGCCAGCCCAGGTGCCCTCAGCACCCTCGGGGCACACACAGGGAGTGTCTGCCCCCAGCCCAGGTGCCCTCAGTACTCTCGGGGCACACACAGAGGGTGTCTCCCCCAGCCCAGGTGCCCTCAGTACCCTCAGGGCACACACAGAGAGTGTCTGCCCCCAGCCCAGGTGCCCTCATACCCTCGGGGCACACACAGTGAGTGTCTCCTGCCAGCCCAGGTGCCCTCAGTACCCTCGGGGCACAGAGAGTGTCTCCCCCCAGCCCAGGTGCCCTCAGCACCCTCGGGGCACACACAGAGAGTGTCTCCCCCCAGCCCAGGTGCCCTCAGCACCCTCGGGGCACACAGGGAGTGTCTCCCGCTGTCGGCCATGTTGGGGCCGCCCCCCCTCAGTGTCTGCCGGCTCGGGGCTGCCGAGGGCTCCTGAGAGGCTCACAGAGGGACAGAGACACTGCTCCCTTTGGGTTCTTTCTTGCTCTCTCCCCTCAAACTTCTCTGCAAAACTGACTTTTGAAATGGGTGAAAAGAAGGCATCTCAGGGAGGGAAGCCAAGGGGTTTGAAAGAGGAGAACGGCCCCTGGAATGGTTGCTGAAATTGTGGGGCAGGGCTGGCGCTGAGGATGGAGAGGGAAAAATCATCAGCACAGCCAAGGTTCAGGAGAGCAGAGCTGTCCTGATATCCAACCTGAACCTGCCCTGACACAGCTGCAGCCATTCCCTGGGGCTGTCCCTGCCCAGGTGCCATCCAGGTGCTGATGTGGGCCTTGGGAGATGAGGCAGGTGGGAGGGGGGTTCTGCCTTCCCCCAGCCCCTCTCTCCGTGCCCCATCCCTGCAGGAGAGATGTGAGAAACCATTCCCATCCTGAGGGCTTCAGAGGGGCTGCAGGGAGCAGAGTCCTAGAGCTCATGGATGTTCCAAGGAAAGGGAAACCTGGAGTTCCTCTTTTGAGCTGCTGGGGAGTCTCCACACAATTCAGGCCAGCTCAGCTGGCTCAAGCCTGCCCAGAACTGCTCCCACACCTGAGGCTTTTCCTTCTGAAGCAGCCCCAAATCAGAATCCTCACATGTGCCCCCACACTGAGAACTTCTCCAGCTTTCCATGGGAGCTGAGAGCTGGGACCTGATTGTGCCCTAGCCTCTCCTGGGCATAAAACCAGGGATGAGAGTAACCCCTGAGCACTGGGAGACACTGGGAGAGACTGGCAGGAATCCTGGAGTAACCAAACCATTTGAGTTCATGCCACAGGCACAGTCAAGGCTCAGCAAGTCAGTTCCAGGCTCAGCTGGAAGTGTGAGTGCTCCTCCTGGAAAAGAGAGCCTGGAGCACCAGAGCACAGGTCTCTGCCCTTTGTGCTTCTCCAGATGTTACCTCTAACACCCTGGATTTATTTAAATCTCTTTTGCTAACAAGTACTTTTTTGCACCTCCTCTCATGGGAGACAAAATAGGGAGGAACCCCCTTTAATTGATGCACTTTAATTAACTGCCTGCTTTGTCAAAGCCCTGCTCCTGCATTCTGAAGCAAATTCCCAGCTTTTCATTGTAAACAATACCTCAGTTTGGCTTCAGTCTTAACTGATCTTTAAACGTCCTATTTTCCTGGATCCATCCCCACAGAATCCCAGTGTGGTTTGGGTTGGAAGGAACCTTAAAGATCATTTTGTTCCAATTCCCTGCCATGGGGAGGCTGCTCAGACCCCTCAATTATCACTTCTCTGCCCATCCCACCCTGGGCTAGGTTTCTTTAGCCCCTGAGCACATCAGCCACTTCTCCTGACCCAGCTTTTGGGCCAGGATGCTGCTCAGGGTGTGCTGGGAGCTGGCTCTGCTCCCACCTCTCTTCTGGGAGCAGGATGTGCCTTGCAGGAGGCAAACAGCAGAATCTCCTCTATCACAGACAGGAAACCCTAAACCAGGTCCCAGGCCAGCATAGGTTTTCCTGTTTTACTTCAAGGGGCAGACACAGCTCCCCATCATCCCTAATTTTATATCTTGACATCTCCATCTTCTGCCTGTGAATCCTCTCCTGCTGTCAGAAGGTCACCAGGCCAGCTGGAAAGCCGTTTTTCATACCCTGGCTAATCCAG